AGTGGCTTTTTACCATTAACAACTATCGGTTCTAAATTCATTTCACTTGGGTTGAAATAATAATAATAAAAAAACATTACTTGGTCTTTGCCAGTTTTTTTGTATGGATTTAGTTGGTTTGTGTTTTCTTAGTTTACATAAGCTTCTTGTAATTCCAGAAGTTACTCAGATATTTTAATGTTTCTATAATCAAAAAACAAAACAAGTGTAAGGAATTTATAGCGTAAGGTCAACCATTAAGACTACATTTGTAGTTATTGTCAAATTTAGAGTTCTTTCATAAAATCTTGTTTTTTGAAAACACGTCATCAAACAAAACTGCCACATCAATTAAAGACAACATATGTGGTGTTTTACTTTGATAATTTGGCTTGAAACACATATTTCAGTGCAGTTCCAGGTCATGGTTTGTGAAAAAACATAAGGGAAATGTTGTTCTGCTTGATGAATTTAGCATCTTTCTCCGAACATTGTGCTACGAAACATTGGTAGCTATCTCATGACCCTGGGAGACGAGGAGATACATCACTTCACACAGTCTCTATTTCACTCTAAATAAATGAACACTAGTTGTTTTTTATTTATTTTTTTAAGGGAAACACACATTTATTAAAATGTACATCTTCTACAGCACAGGTATGCAAACTGCATATACAAAAAAAAGGGTTTTTAAAATGTTAGCTGCACAAAATGTAGCTGTTAGTTGGGCATAATAACACTGTGTGTGTTGCTGACATAAAATCAAAGACTATACACCGACATCAGGTTGTGAGGTTAATCCAGGGGGCGACATAGATAGATTTAAAAATGCCTTTATTGGCATCCTGATCCAATTTACTATGTGGACAGAGACAAAGTGAAATATTAAGCACCCTTCACGCTTACTCCAACCGTAACTGCAAACAAATGAATGGAGACAATGAACCATGAATAAAAGCATCTCATGCAACACGGGAAATAAGACACACACTCTTGATGAACTCCTATTTGTCTCAAAATATTTGATTTGATATTTGATACAGCCTTCCCTGAATAAAGCGAAGCTGCATTAACACAATTTAAAGTTCAACAAAATAGTTTCCAGACTTCTCTGTTTTACATTTGTCAGCTCACTGAGCTGAAAACCCTCCTCTGTTTTTTTAGCAGCTGGCCTCTCACCTGCTCACTGCCTGCAGGTTCCAAATGAATAAATTATGTGTACACAGAAAAACACACCTGTTGCTCCAAAATGAAAATATTTCTATATGGAAGACCTTATAGCATGCTTATGTAAATGTTTATTTAAGAGCCAGTTGAACCTGATCTGCTGAAAGGATGTTCCAGATTTTAAATTCTGCAATATGTGCCCATCCATGCCCATAGACATGTATATTAATAGGTACAATTACGTTTCACAAACTGTGCTTTAAATATTTAAGTGTGTAGTTAATTCATTCAGCCCTCTGGGAACTGCAGTCTTGTGTTTTGGCCATTCATCAGGATGCCTGGTGCAGTAAGGAGATGTCAGTCGGTTTTACATTTTTACTCTTTTTCTCTAAAACTAACTATGAAAATATATTTTTTTATCATTTCCAGTTTATTGTGAAGTTTATTGTTACATTATTTGGTATTTTTTAAATATTTTATAGTGCAGAATATCAAATGAATTGTTTTTTTTAGTTGAGTACAGGTAGATGGAGCTTTTTACAAACATTTTAGACCATTATTTATTTATATTTTTTCCAAAAACTTCTTGCTATGATTCCTTTAAAGTTTTTTTTTTTTTTTTTTTTTTTTTGTTGTTTTTTTTTCCCTGTTTTTAATACCAATTTATTTTTAGTGGCACGAAGTTAAACT